AGCAACGGGGAGCAAGGGGGGGTGGGCGCTGAGTGGGGTTTCCTTGCTGTGGGGTCGCTGAGCCCAGCCGTGCCGGGCTGTTTGTGGGGCTGTTGCGGGGCGGGGGGCGTTGGGCGACCCCGTGGGGTTTGTGGGGCCGTCCCTGCGAGTCCCCTGGCGGTGCTGGGGGATTTTGTGGGGTCGGCAGCGGGGTCTGCGCGGGTCTCGCTCTGTGTTACTGTAGGGGCACTGGGGAACATCCCGGGGGGGCTCCTGTGCCCCCTACCCCACCCACATCGTGTTCCACAGCCCCAAAAATCCCCCCCCCGCTCCAGAAAGCCATTCCTTACCCCATATCTCACCTCACAGCCCCCCAAATCCCCACCCCAATCCCACCCCGTGTTTTTGTAGGGTCTCACACCAGGCCGAGCTCCATCCCCCTTCCCCCTTTTAGGACCCAAATCCCCGTGGTTTTCCCCCAAACCCACGGGGCACTGCCCATCACAACACCCCAAAACTGGGGGAACAACGTCCCCCCGTGTCCCCCAGGGCCACCCCGACCCTCCCCACCCCGAGACACAGACCAGCTCCTCAGAGATTCAATCTTAATTCAAGGGAAAAAAATGAAATATAAATTAACAAATGATGGGAGTCGGGTCCAACCCGGGGATTTTCCATGGGAATTCCAGCAGAAAACCCACCCCAAAAACGGGCAGGGGTCACAGCAAGGACCTGGGCACCCCTGAGCCCCAAACCCCACACGGCTCTGAGGATCCAGCCCCAGCCAGGACAGAGGGGCTGGGGGACAGTGGGGACCAGGACGTGTCCCCTGTGCTCGGGATCGTGTCCCTTCTCCTTGGAACTGTGTCCCTTGTCCCCAGGACTGTGTCCCCTGTCCTCAGGATCATGTCCCCTGTCTTTGGAACCATGTCCCTTGTCCTCAAAGTCGTGTCCCCTGTCCTCAGGACCGTGTTCCTTGTCCTTGGGACAGTGTCCCCTGTCCTCGGGGTCTTCAGGCGGTCGCCGTCCCCTGCCCGTGGCCGAGGGGGTCGGGATGGGATGGCACAGGGTGGGCACCCAGGGATGTCACAAAGGCCTCCACCTGCAAGGACAGCCTGGCTGAAGGGGTGGCACTGGGATGGGGCAGGGATGGACTGGGGTGGCACTGGGATGGCACCGGGGCTGTGCCACCCACGCCACCTGTGCCACCCCCCCGTGGCACCCACCTGTGCCATGAGCAGCCCCTGCCTGGCCACGTCGTGCTCGAAGTCCTGCTCCACGTCCAGCACCAGGACGGGCGCGCTCTGCGCCGCTGGGAAATGGATCCTGCACGGGACAGCGGGGGCTTAACCCAAAAAACACCCAAAAACCCCCAAAAACCCAGGGCACCCCAAAGCTGGGCGTGCTCTGGGACTCACTCGGTGGCCCTGGCCACCAGCCAGAGCTCGTGCTGGCCGTGCAGCTGCTGCAGGTAGCCCAGCTGGATCCCGGCCTCCTCGCTCCTCGCCCGCCGCCGCAGCCGCTCCAGGCACGTCTGGGGGGGGGGAAAAAAATGGAATTTCACCCTTTGGAAAATGGTTTGGGCAGCCCCGGAGTGGAATTGCAGGTGTGGAACCCCAGGTGTGCAATTCCAGATGTGGAATCTCAGGTGTGGAACCCCAGGTGTGCAATCCCAGGTGAGCAGCCCCAGGTGAGCAATTCCAGGTGTGCAATTCCAGGTGAGCAATTCCAGGTGAGCAATTCCCAGGTGAGCAGCCCCAGGTGTGCAGCCCCAGGTGAGCAGCCCCAGGTGAGCAATCCCAGGTGTGGAACCCCAGGTGTGCAGCCCCAGGTGAGCAATCCCAGGTGTGGAACCCCAGGTGTGCAGCCCCAGGTGAACAATCCCAGGTGTGGAACCCCAGGTGTGCAGCCCCAGGTGAGCAATCCCAGGTGTGGAACCCCAGGTGTGCAGCCCCAGGTGAACAATCCCAGGTTCCCCCCAGCCCTGGCAGCCCCAGGTGAGCAATCCCAGGTGAGCAGCCCCAGGTGAGCAGCCCCAGGTGAGCAGCCCCAGGTGAGCAGCCCCAGGTGAGCAGCCCCGGGTGTGGAACCCCAGGTGTGCAATCCCAGGTGAGCAGCCCCAGGTGTTCAGCCCCAGGTGTGCAGCCCCGTGCCCGTGCCCACCTGGGGGCTGGCGCGCAGGTACAGGAAGGCGTGGGGGGCGGCGCGGGGCCCCAGGTGGCGCAGCAGGAACCCGTGCCAGTCCTGGTAGATCGCCCACTCCAGCGGCTGCAGGTGCCCGGCCTCCAGCAGGCTCTGGGCAAACACGTACCTGGGCACGGAGGGCACAGGGCAGCGCCACAGCCCCTGCACAACCTTGTTGTGCACACATTTGGGGTTTTTGGGGGTTTTTGTACTCGTGAGGAGATGCGGGCGCTACTCCTTGGTGTGTATAAAATAGATATTAAAAATATACTATATGTAAAATGTTTATATATATATATGTTGTATATATAAATGTGTGTATAAAATATAAATATAAATTTAAAATATACTATATGTATAATGTTTATATATATGTGTGTTATATATATATATAAAACGATTTTTAAACCATTAAAATATATAAAATATAAATGAAATATATACAGAATATAAATAAAAATATAAACCTCATAAAAAGATATTATATATAATATACAATATATATAGTGCATAATATATATTTTATATATAATATATTATATATATATAATATATATATTACATAGTTATATATAGACTTC